TCATACCAGAAGCCACAACATCTTGATCTTCATAGCTTCAATTGGGTTTGTTAGGCCACTGGGGCAGACTTATTTCCACTTCATTGGGAATTTAGTAATCCTTATTCCCTTAAGGCCATTCCAAATTGTCTCGGGTCAGTTCGTATGATTCCTTTCATTGTGGCTCAAGATGATGCTGAAGCAAATCATCAAAAGTGGTGATCTAAGCCAGTCTGCCAAGGCGCACGCAGCATAGGGGCACAAGCTGGGCATTTGCTTAGGTTGATCAGCCTAAAGACTTAGAATAGGGTGTTTTCCATCACGATGTTATTGAATTTCACTTCTTTACTCAAGTTTTTTTTATCCCATCTGAACCACCATTTTATCAGCGCCCCCAATTGAATTCGAAACCGCTATAAAAATGTGGTTTGGGGCGTCTGACTTACATTGAATCTCACATCTTTCTTTTGACCCTGGCTGTGCAATGTGGTAGTGTTTTGTGCCGATGATGCCTATTCGAAATCAAAAATGGCAATTATGTCAAGATGGAAAAACATTGTTAGAGGTAAATCGGTAAAATTTAATGTCATCCTGGAGACTATTTATTTAATTGTAGAACAAACTCCACGTGCGGCCTAGCGTTGGGTTTCGAGGAATCTCTTGTTTCATAATTGTTGAGCTTACTTCCATTTCGAGTGAAATTGTTGGGTGAAGAGATTCGAAGGTCGCTTCCACTAGAAGACGACGGTGGATTCCTCTTGACAAGCTGTCAATTGGCTTTACTGGAACATTCATGCTGACGCTTTTTTCGAGGCATTCTCTTTCGATTCCGGTGAAAACGTGCTAAGCTTTTGTGCGTCATATGACGGACATTATCAGAGCGAGGTAACATCGTCACAACAAAATTCAAGCTAACGAGTCAACGATTTCAACCGGTATTAAGAGAATGGAATTTCAAGGTGATACCAAAGGAGAAGACAACACTTTTAACCGGTCTGCCGGCGCAACACGAGATGAATGACAAAATGGATTGTTCTGGAGTTTATCACATCAAATGAGGCAACTGTGAGTCGAAGTGAAGCAGAGTTTTCTTGACTCGTTATCTTGAATTTTGTTGTGACGATGTTACCTCGCTCTGATGATGTCCATTATATGACGGATGAAGGCTTATCACCTTTTCACCAGAATCGAAGGAGATTGCGTCGGAAACAGCGTCAGCATGAATCGGCCAGTAAAGCCAATCGACAGTTGGTCAAGAGGAATCGGCCGTCGTCTTCTGGTGAAACCGAGCTTCGAATCTCTTCATCCAACACTTCCACTCGAAATGGAAGAAAGATAGCCTGACTAGTCTTAGTTACCTTTACCGCTCACACAGATCCACGCATACGGAATCATTTCAATTGTATGTTGGCAGATAGACGCAACGAGTAGTTGATGCTCCTGCTGTAATCTAAGCATTGAAGCCTCAATCAGGAATTACCCGGTGAGCTTATTTAAGTTCGGAGGCATCCTCTTCTGCTCTGGTCGGAGCATCTTGACATTTCTCATGCCACGCATTCAGGCTAACCAGCCATTTATCTCTTTAGAACTGGTATACTCAAAAGAAGACGACAAAATGAAAGTTGAAACTGGTTTGAGAAGCATTTCTTTCACCCCCTGTACAATAATAACAACATAAATGCTGAGACTTCAGCGGATCCTTCTCTAACCGTTTAGTCAGACAATTGGTGACGATACCGACTGAGGTATCTTCTTTTTAGGCCGGAGTTTTAACTGAAAGCTTTTATGGGGGAGGGAGGACCAGGTGCAAGTGAATGAGTCTGGCTTCTCCGCCAGCAGACGACCATCCAGAGAGCTCTGAGTCGCTATGCCCTAATGGCACTATCATTGAACCTTGTGTATTTTGGCTGAATGAAAGAGAGATATCGAAGGTATGAAGACCAAGACGGTGTGGCCTTTTGTGTGGTCGCAGTCTCCTTTCGTTTTATACAAGTTTTTTGACCTTGTTTTCGCAACTTGGTCATGTTGGTAGGAAGACTTTGAGGAACGCACCTTGTCCGGAGTCCATTGTATGCATCATCATTTCCAGAGTAGGACCGTGGACTTGGTACATTCCTACTCTGGAAATGATGATGCATACAATGGACTCCGGACATGGTGCATTCCTCTAAGTCTTCCTACCAACATGACCGAGTTGCGAAAACAAGGTCAAAAGAGAGTTATTTTCGTTCTCGACCCTTCATTCCTGGACCATCTTGCAGCCGCTTTGACTTGGGCCCACTCCATCCCATCCAAGAAGCGAGGGAGACTGGCTGATGAATTCGTGAGAACACGAAGCCGTTACCGTCAATTAGAGCAATGACTTTGTTTAAGGACTCGAGATATTTGGAGATTGGACATCGTTCTGGCATATCACTCTTCAGCTTGCTCTTTTTGAGCTCTCTTTCAAGGCATTTCCCACTCGCCCCGAAAGAGCGACTAGCTTTATTATGCAAAGCAACGGGATAAAAATAAGATTATAAATTATCATAAGGTCTCATATGAAGCAGGATATCTCTCCTATTTCAGAGGGCTTACTACTGACCATTGTATTATAAGTGCCCGTCTCGGGGGCTCATAGACGCCTATATGCATACTACAATGGACAGCCAAGTCTGTCGGAAATGGATTAATGAGATTACCGAGACATCCTTTCCCCCAGGGGCATTCTTCTCAGTCCAACGGATAAAAAATCGGCTCTTCTCTGTACGTTTGGGGTACCTGCTTCATCATACTTGCCATTGCTTTCCTCCATTCACACACACACACACACACACACACACATATATATACTTAATTACACTACAACTGAAAGGTTTGATTTGGCACCGTTTTCGCTAATTTGCACCTATTTCTAGTACTCCGCTCAGTAAGTTAATATGTTTTTCCAGCATCATCATAAAATAGTGCCTCTGAGTTAAATTTCAACTCGTCTTTCTGAAGACTTATGGCTTTGAAGGGGGTGATTTCAAGCTGAACGGGTGAGTGAATCATTATTTTTGGAGGATTCCTTGGTGAGGCTATCGTTGGTAGTTCGCCAGTTGGACAGCATTGGTGTTGCCTAGACGACAACTGAAAGGACCTGGCAGACGATGAAGTTCACTACGCTTCGATGGATCCACTCAAAGGGACACGTGTCGAGGCCGTCAGAACAGACTAATATACCACTGGATAGAATCGAGACTTGTGCATCCGAGGCAGGGGTGTGAGTGAGAGGAGGATGTGTGATGAGAACGGAGGAAAGGCACCAGGATTGGCGAGAAACGAATGTCACACTTTATCAACAGAGAATCTGTCAAAAGTATTGAATTATTCTATCACTTGGGCGAGTTGTGGCTCTGTGATGCCAATGAAATGAGTCAAATTGAACCCCATCAACGATCTAAGTCCGGAAGAGTACAAGCCGATAATAGCTGAGAACTCGATGTGAGGCGGGTTCATTGAGGTCACCTCGAAAAGTCAGGCAGTTTGCGAAATCGAGGTCAAACTAGCTCTAGGCATCTACAGGAGACTGCGGCCTAACGAAAGGTCATCTCATTTCGCTATTCCTTTCTTTCTCACTCGAACTTAACTAGCTTCTCATTTATTTCGCTCACGGAGCAAGCGACTTGTCCGACTCGGACAACTGTACCATGGGGCTGAACTGACGAAGTATGCTCCCGCGATCCAACTTCAGGTTTGCTTCTGCAAACTGTTTCACAAATACCGTCTACTTGCTTACTTTATAAAAAGAGCCATAAGTCCATTCAAAGCCTAGAAACGATACACGTGAACGGTAAAAATCCACTCCGTACGAGGCTCTTGGTTCACTTACTTTGCGTGCTTTTGGTAGAGTCATTAGACGTTGGATAAGTTGTTCATTGTATATTTATTCATTATATGAATGCATTTGTGCATGTGTATGCGCTTGCCGAACCACAAGGCGGAAAGTGTGTGCCGATGCAGTGACAGTTTTATGGACACACAGGTCGGTTTAGAGACAAACTTCACCTGTAGGTCTAATGAGTTGAGTACAGCTGGGGGAATGATGGGGACGAGCGTGTGTTTTTTGTTCAGTGTGTGTATGCACATCTATGTTTAAAGATGTACATTGAATGTATCGACATAAAGCCGCCTTCACTGTAGGTACTGGTTACCCTTCTGTACTCCACTGATTGACCCGTAGCACTTGGAGCTAATCTGTGTAGGTGCAATAAGTGCTGAGGCAGGTACAGATGACGTGGTGGTATGTGAATTAGTCCAAGTTGAATTATAGACAAACAAGCAAAGCACTTAAAGTCATGTGATGCAGAAACACGATACAGGCCCGAGTCAGTTGGGGATCGGCTTAATGGGCTCTTACATTTTCCCTCAGTGTGACCTCTTTGTATGTGAAAAGATTACTCTTTTTCTTGAATCACCAACTTTCTAGTGCTCTTAAAAGGGGGGGCACAAGCGAATGACCCCTCACACCTCAGATTCCGTCAGTTTAAGATACAACCGTAACGTTTATTTACCACTATCTACTCATTCAGTATTAAGTAGTCGCTGATTATAGTGGAAAATAATTATATTGTATTTAGCCACACATTCTTACAAAAAATCTGAATTGATAGTCACACCTGTTCTCCCTATCACTGGTATCCTTGGCCTTATGGCTGAGTGTTAACTTTTCGCCACTTGGCGTGAAATACTCTGCTTTGAGTCTATTTATGCTAATGGTGAGATGGTCACAACTGCTCTCAAAGTTTTTTTGGAGTCAAGGTTAGGGGAAATTCAGTTTCATTGTGACTTATACTCATTCCAATTTGGTAAATGGAAATCTCGGCCCGTATGTCAACTTAAACTATTCTGGCTGACTAGAATTTCTATTCAAGACGTACTCATAGTTATAAAGCCTACTCATTCAGTTGATTGGTCTCTGCCTTCAGCCAGCTTTTTTTGTCCCTCCCTCTCTACCAATTCCTCACGAAACTGAGGCTGTCGCGAGAATGGTGTCGTCACGACAACAGATTGTTATACGTCGTTCCCATTTGGTCTACCCTCTTTGGTCGGGCTGCGGGAGGTAGATTTGCTGCGTCCATCCTTCAAAGTGTCGTTCCTCTTCTCGCCTACTTTTGTCGTCGGGTTTTGCTGTATTGTAATTTTGGCCTCGCTCTACTTCCACTAGCTCTGTTGGGACTCGACTCCAGGCCATGGGCGTCAGGAGACAAAGTTTACAAGCGAGTTTACAAGATGGACTGCGCTTGTTTTGAGGGCAGATCACTTGAATCAGTTTGGGTCGGAGTCATTCAGGGTGGTACACGTTTTGTGCCTTGTTTCCTCTAAGACTTGAGATCAGGCGACTCTGTGCATTCAAGAGCTGAGGAGCCTTGGGCTTTAGTTGCTCTTTGAGCTACAGATTATGAAAACCAACTCGTTAGGAGCAGACTGTTAACACGAAAGCTAATATAATGTGATATTTGGGTTGTTTGCAGGTTATTCTTGCTATGCAGCTTTGGTTGAAACTCGTTTTCGCGAATTTCGCGAGTTTTTAGCGAGGCTTTGAAGAAAGCACCCCGTTCTATGCCATCTAGAATGTAAAGTGCTTCCTTAGAGTCAAGTTGCCCATTTCGGGTTGGCATTATTTGTGCAAACTAGTCCTTGTTTTCGCGAGACATTGGAATTCGTACTGCATTAGTTTCCACTTTTTAATGTCTTCTACAGCTTCAGAAGGTTGATTGGATCTGCTGCCAGCCTTTTCTCCGGCATTGTCAATGAGTAGCTTCATCCCCAGCATAAAGCTGAGGCTTGTCAGTGATCTACATCCGGTACTATGATTGAATAGGTTTCAAAATTTCCAGTAGATCTTGAGTAAGAGCTCTTTCCACCCTAGATCGGATGAGGGAATGAAGGACCGATAGTTGAATCTTCCCACAATCCCATATCCTTGCTTCTCAAAAGGCATTATCATCCGGGCTGGACTGCAGTTTCGAGCTCGCCTTTGTCTCATCATCACCCATAACGGGACTTGGCTACAGCGACTTGGTTTAAACTCGTTTTTGTGAATTTGTCGAATTTTTAGAGAGACTGTGAAGAAAGCACCCTATTCTGAGTACGTGGTACGTCCTCCAAAATCTCCCTGTAAACACGACCAAGTCTATGAGTAAAAATAAGAGACCGAAGACGACCCAAAGGCCAACCGACTTCTTCCTATCTACAGTTTATCTTTTTCGAGTTGATTACAGTAAGTTGAGCCTCGAAAGTATAAGGAGACCTGTGGGCGACGACTAGAAATCAAGTCAGTGATAAGGGAACTTTTCAACGAAAATTCTCTTTTTCTCACTTCTTTTAGGGCTAACTCATCAGCTCATGCTTTACCATCTTAAACTTTTAACTGCGCGCATAAACAACTGACATATCTTAGCAGCTGCAATAATGTTTAAGCAATTTTTCCATTCCGATTTGTTTGTTATCCCAATAGTCGTCTTTGCACATCTTATGTTTTATTGCTTTCCGGTTAAAGATATTGGCAGATTTCATTGTGGCATCATAGACATGACCGTCACTAATGTCCCAGTTCTTGGTCCATTAGGATTATACATTAAGAAAAGTTGAGTTTCGAAAATCTCTTAATAAGATATTGCGACCTGAATTTTCATTTTGGAGGAAAAGTTGGTTGGAAAGAATTCAGGAATTTGTCTCATCGGTTCGCCGTCCTACGACTCCGATTGACCCGTGCTAAGCTTTCGACCGTACCACTGACGAACCAATATATTAAACCAATAGAAAAAGGGGCCGGCTACAAACAAACCTAGTCACTTTTTATGCCAAATCTTGCGATCTTAATCAAGTATCTCATGATTTATTTGGATTCCTCAAACTTACTCTACTTGCTTGCAGATGAGTAGAGTTAATTCATTAATTGTAAGTGGATGTGGTGGCGACTGCTTCCTCACATAACTAAATAAACTAGCCTACGATCCTCTAAAGTTGACTCAGGCTTGGAAATGCGCTATTATCTTTTGTGTATATGTGATGATCATGCCATTAGAGGTGTGATATCCTTAACCAGACCCCTTCTGTCGTTGAGTAGTTCTTCCTGCTCACTCTCTCTCCCTAAGCCTGTCCAACAGCCATAAATAGTTATATGAAACCCTACTTACGAACGAAAAATAAGCCATAAATAATTCCCACTAACTTTCCTACACCCATTCCTCCTATTCAAGATGTGGGCTGTTTTGTTATTTTCTACACTCCATAATCTTACGCTTGCATGCAAAGTCCCCGTAACCTGCAAAACCCTTTTTAGTGCCCTGTATTAAGCATGTGCTCGGCAAGTTCAGATTTATGAATCCATAACACTTCACAGGCGGTTTCGTCTTCACATAATCTCTTTTGGATTGGTCGCCAGGTCCCTCCCACACAGACCTTACCACATGATCACAACACCTTGTAACAGCCTGATGCAGTAAGAGGGTCTGAAAACCCTCGAAAAGAAGACAGAACTAAGGAAAGTGTTAATTTTTCTTTATACGTTATTCTGATGTCCCACTTCCTCATTAGGTCACATAAATCTTTCACAAGCTGACGATAAGGTAAAGTTAGGAACCGAGTAGAATGATCTATCTCTCTATCTCGCTCTAAATAACAATCTCCTCTCATCATGCTACTCCATGTTGAAATGTAATTATCTATTAACCTTACTAGGTCTCAATCTACCGATTTCCTGCTCCCTGTGGTTTACGTCTGCTTGCCCGAGACTCGCTATTATAATCAATCTCCTAACTACTACTTTAATCCCATAGATACGATTAGATAAGAAGTTGATAAGGAAACCTGCTTGTGTTGGTTTCGTTTACACTTCCATACCCAACACATTATCTTCTTTGCTCACTAATAAATCCAGAAATGGCAGTTCATCTTCCTTTTCCAAGGTCACTGTAAATTAAGTCATGCCATCCAGTCTATTCGTTAGCCCAAAGATTTTATTCAATATATTTTTTCGTGCTGTAAAACAGCAAAGTAATCGTCCATATTTCTAAATAATAATTTTGGAACTAGGAGCGCCTCTTGAGCCATGCTGTTATTAGCTAAAATAGGGGCTAAACAAGATCCAATAAGCAAACTCCATGTTTGCTTATAGAATTTACCATTAAGCGTAAAATAAGTATTTTTCATGACTAAATTGATCAATTTGATGATTAAATATTTGCCCAACCTTTTACCTGTTATGACCTAAGGATGTAGATATATGGTTAACTCTAAAGCCCTCGTTGCTCTGTTTATCTGAATGTTATTGCACTTAGGGACTACATCGAAACTTACCAAAAAATCTCCTCTTTATCGCTTGACTATCTACTAACTTTATATAGTGGCAAGAATTCCTTATTGAAAACCTCCAAGTTTCGAAGATTTGCTTTAACAAATAAATCTTGATGTTTTATGGATCACCCTATCTCCATTATTTACAATTATCCGAAGTGGCGTATTCTATGCATTTTGGGCGGACCATTCGCTGGAGAGGTGTGTGCATTTTCTACTTTTCCAGTTCTTCACATCTACACATTTACCCATCGTTACGTGTCTGCAACATTTTCTCTACATAGTCAGTCCTATCCATCACTACCACATCAATTAGAGGGACAACTTGTAATCCAATGTCACTTCAAATAGCTTATAGGAAACTATCTGTTAAACTTGTCCCTTCCAGCAAGTTTTTTTCTCTGAGTTCCTTAGTATTTGGAAGGACAAAGTTCAAGCCCTTTTACAGGAGCCTCTCAGTGGAAATATCCAATGAGGTTTCGGACCGGCATAGCACTTTTTGGCATAGACTTTCCCTACCTTTCACTACATTAGATACCGATTGTTGGACTGATTCTAATATTGTTGGGGAGATCTTCATTTCCTATGAAGGTGCATGAAGAAGAGACTCGTTGGTTGACCTCACCAGAAGACGACAGCTGAATCGCGTTGTACTGCAGCTTTTTGGCTTTGATACGACGTTCAGGTTGACGCAGTCTACGAGATATCCTCCTTCGCTTCGGGTGAAAACGGGCTGATCTTTCGTTCATCATTCGATAGACATCATCGCAGCTGGAACTCATTCTTGTAAGAGTCTTAAGTTAAGACTGGAGCAAAAAGACAGTCAAAAAAGGCCCAAATATCAGACTCTGGTC